GTATCAATGACATTCACATCACTCACCAAAATCGTTTGACACATTGCTTATATACTTAATTAGAATTCAAAAATTGGATCCCACCTATAGATCACTAATGATTTACACATTATGTTAAACATTACTGATGTTGACCATACAAATACGCTTTATTTTATATATGAACATGGATACTACTCGCGTCGCGGACGAGTTCAAAAAGATAACGAGTTTAAAAAAACACAATTATTTAACTATACAGTTTCATTTTGGATATCAAATTATGGTTTATCGTGGCCTGCCCAGACCTGGAACTCAACATCTCCAAAAATGAGGTCCATATCAAATAATAGATATTCAAAACTAAATCGATGTGTTTTTTAATTCATTGCATACAGGTAGCTGAATATAAATATAGATTTTAAAAGTTACATATGGATTTATCTACTGATAAAATACGAAAATCGAAGTCATGTCATTAACTATTAAATAGATAAAGGGTTTAATCTTCCATCTGATAAGATTGGTATGATGTAATGAAGAAAAGGGAAACTATAAGGGTGTCTAACTTACCAGGCAGGTATAACATGAACAAGATTTTCTATTCTTTCGGAAACGCTCATATATTTAAAGAATATTGACTACAAGTTTGAAAATAAATGGTTCCAAATAGTCTAATTTAATTTGTCATATAGTCATGTTTAGCGGTATTAGACAACTTGTATGTGTGAGTGGATGTATGAAAATATATAGTTATGTGTATAAAATATAAAAAGGTCTTTTTTGCAATAGGTATTTTTTGGTACTCCAGTTGTAATAGACATATCAGCATATATAATCGAACAAAAGTATATTTTTGCTCTTCAATGCAGAATCTGAGTTCAACAAGTATATGGTCAAATTGAAACATTCTTCTCTTGCATTGATGTACTCCATTGTAAAGTTGTGTTGTCATTGTCATTATATAACGCAAAAGGGAAAATAAAAAAGTGTCAAATATTTTTTTTTATATAATGTTATTGTCTTCTACTCATTGCAAACGAAACTGTTAACCATTAGCGTATTCCTTTTAGAGCTCGATATAAGTGGTGTATGACCAATATCAATAACTGCTCGTTTGCTGAGTAAATATGGAATAAGTGGACTCGGATTTATACATGTTTGTGAGGAATGATGATTATATTTGGAAGCATAATCGAATGCGCCTTAAACATATAAAAAAGAATTATTTTTGGAGCAAGATGTTTCCTCATAATGCATTTTAATGTCCAACTATAGTTACATATCATACCGATATTAGGGGGTGGCCTCCCTTACACTGTTACGCATTGGAAACAGAACATGCAGCAGAGAAGATAATTTTGTTTTACCTTTTCCATCAGTATCGTATAACATAAACTAACTACTAACTAAGAAAGGCAATGGTATCCGGATAATCAAATCACGAAATAAAATTTCTGCGATCTCAATTTGTGACCATTCACATACATTTGATTAACTATTTATCTTTTTTTGTGAAGGTAGGAGCTAAGAAATGTTTTTTTTTATCATTTTGTCATCGTCTTCTGCAATGTTGATTTGTGTATTGATGTACGGCACAAAATGAATGGAACCTCCGACTTTCAAGACACAATAAGTCAGGTTATTTGTCTTTATTTACATTTCGTCATAAAGGTTATGTATAAAGATGTTACAACTCTTTCTATCAAAATTGACTCTGTCATACATTTATCTTATTACAAATCTAGTATTAACAATTGAACTATTACATTTAAACATGTTCTATTCCTGTCCTTATCTTTATTTTTCTCCGGATCATCCATCTAATGAGTATATAAGTTAAAATTCAAACGCATAAAAATAAAAGATACTCTCTATCTTAAATAGTCTCACAATAATAGCAGACGACATCTATAATATTACATAAAATGGCGCAAATAGACAAGACCATATTTCCTCTGATTATTGATTTCACGCTCAATCTCAAATACGTACTACATATCAAAGCTTTACTTTCTACACAAACACAATCTAATTAAAACCAGATCTCTCATTACACTACGTTATTATAACGTAGTGTAATGAGAGATCTGATTTTAATTAGATTGACACAAATAATGCCCGTATTACAGAAAGTAGAAAGTAGAAAGTAACACTTTAATGTTACATATTTCAAACTGATGAATCTTATAGAATACAACACTTATTGTAAAATCAAATTTACAGATGATAAGGTAGTAACATCGTTGTTGTAAATGGTCATAAAACACTTTATCTAAAGCTCTGCTTTACAGAAAAGTTATATTCGGCAGCTCACCTCCAGTTTACATGTAGTTTCACACTCACAGAATATAAAAACAATGAAACGATCAAATGGTTTTTTTAGTTCAAGATCCCAATTCCCTTTATTCAATTAATCATATAAATATAAAAAATATTGTTTTGTGATATTTTACAAAAAATGCTAATTCAACTGGATGCAGTCCGGATAACCACAAGAATCTGAATTGGTACACAAAATTGTATAGAAATGGCTAAAGGGAAACATTTTAAACTGGATGGAAAATTAAGCTTATTTTAATGTTTAAAGTATTTTGTCATCAATTTATCTACCAAAAACAGTTTAAAAAATATTTAAATGATAAAACATGAACGGGATGTTTGGAACTATAAAGAGCAAACAAGACAGAAGCAGTTATTGCTGATTCATATTTGGCATAGACACCTCGTTTCTCAAATGTTTTTTGTCACACTTCCTTGCTTGTTGATTTACTTCCCGTTTTGTATTTACTTTTTTTATCTCTTCATTCACCTGAGTACACAGTCGCACCACAAAAAAAAGTTCAAGACGGATGTTTTAAGTATGATGAGCCATCTACTACCTGCTGACTGAGTCGGTATGCTTCAATATCAACATATTGATTCAGTTACTTCCTTGCTTAAATTTATGAATAAAATGATATTTTGTGCGCTTTTTTAACACATAATTATAAGCTTTATATTTGGAACAGCCAAACCTGACCATGGATCCATAGTAGCTGTTAAGCTTCATATTTTGTTAAACGAATTGATTCGTTATTTTTTGTTTTGATAAATGGACGACATCTCGAACATTTCATAAATTTCTCTATTTGCAATGTCATTATACTTATATATCTATTTAGGTAATAAGGTTCCAATGGACAATTGTTTGTTAATGGATTAAGAGCTCGAATGGCTCCCTGAACTTTCGCCAACAGTTCCCAAAGTGGCTATCACCTCACACGGTTGGTGACAGTAGGCAAAATTATATCTACACCATGTGGCAAAATGCTCACAGTTGTACCTGCCTAGATCGTATTTAAGATCCTTTGGTATACAACTAAGTGCTCTCTGAACAATTTCATCTGCTGGTAAAGGCCTGAAAAACAAAATATGACAATAACTAAAATACTAAGGTGTAGCCTATATAAACTTACCCTTCGTAATCCGAAAACCTGCTTAAACCAAACCACAAACACTTGCTTGCTCACTCACTGACTCACTGACTCCCTCCCTCACTTACTCACTCATTCACTCACTTCTTCACTCACTCACTCACTCACTCACTCACTCACTCACTCATTTTCTTACTTACTCACTACACCACTCACTTGACAAATTAATCATGCTTAAATAGAATATTGTTTTATTTGTGCTCCGGCTGTTATTATTGCATTATTTATGTTCAGCTGTGTGTCCAACGCTAAGAAAATAAACCAAAGCGTTTAAATCAGTTCGTTATAAACTGCTAACAATGATACAGATATTGAAATATCAAACAAAGTCAAATATCCAGGTATACAACGATCTTTTATAAGTTCGCCTACACTTACGTTTTTTCGTCGTCCAAGTAATTATCTATCACGAAGTTGCAATCGGCAATGGTCTCGTATATGTCACGTGCCGCAACGTCACCTCCATTGTCCGCCACGAAATCCACTATCTTCTCCTTTCCTGGCAGTGGAAAATATATAATTAAAAAGATAAAATTTCTATGTAAAGTAGATAAGCTTATATCAGTTTATATTATGACCGACTTCGAAACAAGTAGCCATTACCCACCACGAGGCTTTATGAGGTTGAACGGATGAACGCATATAACTTGTAGAACCGATTATGTACTGATAGCACAAAGTACGATACACTACTTCAAATTATCGAAAATTTCGATCACATAAAAATATCTCAGCTAAATATCAATGAAAGCTTGTTCTTTTCTCGATGAATAATGTGTGAAGCATAATGCGTTTATTCTTTAAATCATTCAATCGCTGTTTGAGTAACATGAAAAGTCAATAAAACAAAGCTTTTCTAATTATTTTCGAAATAGAATATCAAGAGTATATATTATGGATCTTCAAACTCTCACATGTTAAAAGACATTTCCTAGATTAGAGACGAATACATTTCCTTTCTGTCATGCTGATTTTAATTGCACATTTTTTTTCATTCCGAAAACGTACAGATAGGACATAATTGTAAAAAAATGACATTTCATCAAGTAATGTGATACTTGTTGAATTACACCTGTATTTTGTGTACATTAAAAATTCCTGAAATCTTAAACATACTGTAAGATAATTTATTATATGTTTTTGTTGTCACTACCCGATTTCTTGATCTGAGGACGTGACATAACATGGATATGACCTAGATTTTCTAGATGTGAAGCAGACGACGCTTGCCCTTCCGAAATACCTGGTCTTGTTCTCCTTGTCCCTTTACAAGGGTTTCTTTGAAAATCTTTCCTTATTTAATATTTTACCAGAATTATTGATTTTGAGTTGGAGTTATGGTATTGTTGACAAATCGTCATTCTTTTGGTGTTTTTTCCATGTGAATAAATAAATAAAATATGCACCAACTTTAATTATGTGTACGTTAATAAATGATTAATCATGGCAGGAAAAAATTATACTTCTTTATGTAAACAAATATGTAATACATAATATCCGGATTGTAGCGTCACACTAGGAGGAAATATCTAAAGATACACTGTAACAAGTAAAACGATAACTTCTATGTTGGTAATTATAGGAAAGTAAAACAAACTAAAAACAAGTATAAAGTAGCATGCAACGTATATGATAAACCGACTTAATGAGAATGAGGGAACATAGTTTTCAAAGTTTCAATGTATGTCATATGTATTTGTGAACCTAATGCAGAAAAACGTCTTAAATACGCTTACCTATATATATGACGTAATGAAGAAAGGTAGACCGTTCTATTTGGATCATATCACCTTTCTTTGCATCTTTCAAACCGCCCTTGATCCTCGATCGGCGTGCTTTGTCGGATTCTAAGCTGCGTGAGGATCGTGAAACACTATTACTCGACGCAAAAGAACATTGTAAACTCCCAGACGTACTTTGACTTGATCGACTTGAGCGACTTGTAGTAGACATAACAACAGATGTCCTGTTACTGGAATTAAAAAAAGTGGGGAAAATGACTGTGAGATAGTTACTAAATAATCACACTGTTGTCATGATGCTAAATACATTAGACCATCTGCAGTGTCCCCGTGCCTGTGAAGAGAAAATTGTTCTCACGACAAAGCCAGAAAAAAGAGAGTGATAATCTATCATTTTTATAATCATAAAGGATGTTTAAGAGAAGGCAGATCAAAGAGTTCTAAGTAATTGAAGGTGCACGGGTAGTAAATGTGTGCTTTGTAAACCGCGAAGTATTACAGAAACAGCTCGTTGTAATGATATCGTGGGCTTTCTCCTATATGGATGCACGGTAGTCTAGTGGTAGGACGCCGGGCTCTTGACAGAAGGGTTGCAGGTTCGAGTCACGGCACGGCACGGCACGGCACGGCAAGGTACGGCACTGTGTTGTGTCTTTGAGCAATGTACTTTACTCCGCTTGAATACGTGTTTGGGCAGTGCTAGAATTGTTGAATGCTAGCTGTGAGCGCCGGCCGTCTATGCTCCCCAGGGAGTTGAAAAAGATGTTGACTGGTTGCAAAGGCCCTATAACCACGTATAATAATATGTGAACCGCTTTGAGATAAAGCGGCATATAAGAATTATTATCATTATTATTATAAATGGTACGTGTTATGACTTTCTGAGGTCCTTTGAACTATGATGTATGATGTAAAGTGCTATGATTATAACTATGCATATACATGGTGTTTAAATATATGTAAAATTACACGATAGTCCAGGTATACATACTACTCACATTTTGCTAAGGATCATCTATATTTGGGGGGAAAAATCAAAATGTTAGAAAGGATATCATATTGTCCTTCCGTACTGTTAGAGGCGTATATAGCCTTCGAAATCGTTCTGTGTGGATGTGTTCAGTCAAGCATAAAAACACATGCACGCTTTTCCACGTGTACACCACTTTCAAAAGCTAAACTAGGCTAAGTAAGGCGTTGTTCAAATTGTTAAGGAAATCAATCTGATGAATATTCTTTGCTTGTTTTTGTTTCACAATCGCACAAAGACGCGAATCAGACAACGGTTAAAATGACGTTGAAATGAATAGGGGCATCGGAATGCTCATACAGGCGTCACAGGTTCCAAAGTACCACAGCTTTACGAAATGACCTCATTAATGCTTCTGGTACCCAGGTAACTGCTCAGACACTTAAGAACCGTCTTCATGATGCTGATTTAAGGTCACGTAAACCAGCAATACGAGTTCCCTAAACAGCCCGCCATTTTAGGGACCGATGAGATTGGGCCCAAGCTCACAGCACTTGGACTCTTCAGGAATGGGAGCCGGTTCTTTATACTGACGAGTCCAGATTCTGTTTCGACTTCACCGACAGGCGCGTTAGAGTATGGAGACAACATGGGGAGACGTTCCAGGCAGGTAACTTTGTGGAACATGACCGATATGGCGGAGGTTCAGTGATGGTGTGGGGTGGCATAAACCTTCGTGGGAAAACTGACCTCCATGTCTTCCATAACGGTACCGTTACGGCCCCGATTTACTGCGATGAAATCCTTGATGTCTATGACCCTACGCTGGCGCTATCGGCCCTGACGTCATTCTTATGGACGATAATACTAGGCCACATAGAGCAAGAGTGACTGAGCAGTATCTACAGCAAGAGACTATTCAACGAATGGATTAGCCAGCTCGCTCGCCGGATCTAAATTCCATTGAGCATGTGTGGGACATGCTGCAGACAGCTCTCTCTGTCGGAAGTGTTCAGCAAAGAACGCTCCAGGAGCTGGGATCAGTTTTGGAAGCTGAGTGAAACGCTATTCCACAAAACCGGATACGCGATCTCATTCGGGGCATGCACAGACGTTGTGAAGATGTAATTGATGCTTATGGGCGGCACACTCGATACTAAAACAGTTTCTGTTTATTTAGGATGAGTTTTGTTCAATTTTTGTTTTTTTGTGTGAATACCTCGTTGTTACCATTTGTAAGGGTAACCCTCTTCCTGTTGCTCATTTTTCCATGCTGATGAATTGAAAAAAACAATCAAAAATAATGGACAGTGTGGTCAAAAACGCACACATTTAATGACAATGAATGCCTTGTCACAAATACTCACAAGATGTCAGTAAGGAGACATTTACCGGGGCATCTTACAGTGACAGAGTCAGTGAAAAGAAGATGTAATTCATATTGACGTTGTGACAGACAGTTTTGGAAGCTCATTCACAATGATTAATTCAAAATAATAACAACAAATAAGCCAGGACAATTTAAAAGAAATAAAATTCCGACGTCATACATTACAATTGCATTACTTTGTGAAGAAAACGTTTAGCCTAAGTGCAGTTCTATCAAAGCACATGGGGTATGATGGTGCGGTATGTATAATATTTCTCTTGTATTATTTTTAGACGATTGGTTACTTTTGACTTAGCTACGCGCCTGTACGTCACGAGTGCGTGCTTGATGTTATATTTAGCATATTGACTTTCCTACGCTATATATAACCTATATGAGTTGACACTACAACACGATTACGTAAATGATGCTATTATTAGCGTGTGGAAATTTCTAGGTTATATATAACCTATATGTGTCGACTACGTAAATGTTACTATATTTAGCGTGTGGAAATTCCTACGTGTGGTAATGTCACCAATAACAAAATATATCCTCTATGATAATTTGTAAAAAAAACATACGCTTGTACATGTGTTCATGTAATAAACATATCGTAATCAGCTGTTCCTATCTAGAGCTATTATGCTGTAAAAAGTCAACTTAATAGTTTGTCATATAGTTTACTATATATAAATATGTATTTAAATATGCATACATGTACCCTAAAACAGGCTTTCCGTTTTCAACATGGAATCCCTTATAGGTTAGTAGGGTTTCAAAAAACTGAACAGCAAATAAAAACGAAAATAAGGCCAGGATCACGAGAAATTATCAATCTTTCTAAAAATCTTATCACAGACATTCCGAAAACTGAAAGTTTGGCTTTTTTGGAAATCTTAATTGAAAACATTTTGAAAGGCAATGTCAGTTTTCAGTTTATAGATAAACGGTTTCAGTAATAACAGGAATATTGTAATCTGATATTTTGTGATTAAAAAACCAGTGTTGATGTTATAATTTTGAACACAGAATAACTAGTTAAATTAGTCTCCATTTATCATCTTGCACTTAATCAGATAAAAAAATAAATCTCTAAAAAGTAAGGATTGTAGACAGGTTATATATCACAACCAGTAAGTGCATATTTGTGACGTTTCAATGACCAGTCCGGTACGTACTATGTTACGATTGTTAAACAAAATTAGTCTGATGATGGTGATGAAGTACTTCAGTGCCTTACTAGTCATCGAAATGTCACACTGACACATACACACTTACCTGGTTCTCCTGCATGAACCTTGCTACAAAGTGATCGAATACCAATAACAATAAGTGTCTGTTTATAGTGGAAATTAACACGATGAATAAGTATTTTTGAGAGATACACAATATACAACAGTAAAACAGTGTCTCTTTCTGTTCCAATCTATCCTCACAATTGATGATGGTACCAAATTCAAAATTAAAAGTGCAACTATATGTTTGTAAGATCAAATAAACACAAGATAGCCTTACCTTACAGCTAATCTGTCAATGACACTAGTGGCCTCTGGTTTCGAATGATTAACTGGCCTTACATGTAACAATCTCGCTATATATGTCTTTCGAGCTATATTAAGGTTTATTCTACGAATTCTAAACTCTAAGAAAAAACCATTTCTTTTGTAGTCTTACATATATACGGAAAATTTCGTGGAACCTATATATTCTCAGAATTGCTTGCTATCAAAAGGAAATTACCAGCAGTATGAATCATACATGCTATATTTAGGACTTCTGTAAAGCCACCTTGTTGGCGTCAGCTGCGGTGAGAAAAAGCACAGATGGAAAGTGATCTTGATTATATACAACGCGCGCTAATCTTATTGATTTTTGTTGGAAACGCACATACAACCACAGGTAAATATACATAACTGTTTAAATAGTAGACTCTGCAAATTAATCTAATTGAGGTAAAAAAAAAACCACGTGATATAACCTCTGGACCTGACACAAGATTTAGACATTTTGACAGATAGAGGTCTGTGGTGGGGCCAAAGAGCACTGCTATATTATAACGTAGAATTCTCCGACACCGTTTGGTGTCGGAGAATCGACGTCGGGGAGTTTTGAGGTACTGACAACAAAAATTGATTATGACACAAAACATACCTTAATTATCATCAACAGCTGCTAAATTCAGTCAGTAGAGTCCTCGATATACAGTCGTTCAAAATGTCCCACCTGAGCGGACGCCAGTTTTATAGGTCAGGTTAATGACTAATCAACAAACCGTACTGATCCGGACCAAAACCAGAATATATTATTATTGTTTAGAAAGTTTCCGGACCACATCTTTTTGTTGATTAGTCACTACCCTGACCTTCAAAAATGGCGTCCGCTCAGGTCGGATTGTGAAACCGAGGACTCTACTGACGGAATTTAGCAGCTGTTGATGATATTAAGATCGGATTTGGATCAATAAATAATCCATTTATCGATATATGTGAGGTATGTGTTGTGTCAAAGTCGATCTTTGCTGTCAGCACCTCAAAACTCTCCGACTCCAAACGGTGTATTTCACGTTTTCATATATGCATCACAACCAGTAAGTGTATGTGTGTGACGTTTCATTGACCAGTACAATACGTACTCTGACACTTTCATTAGATAAAATGTGTCTGATGAAGGTGATAGAGAAATCAAGTACCTTACTAGCCATCGACACGTCTAACATAAACACTCAACTGAGTGTACTGCATGAACCTTTATTAAAAGAAGTGATCTAATACCAAGAAGAAATGTGTCCGATTTAAGTGGAAATTAACACAATGAATACATATTTTAAATAGATACTCAAACGTCTACGGTTAAACAATGTTTAGCTCCGATCTATCATCACTTTTAATGATTGTACCAAATTCAATATTTCAGATGCAATCGAAAGCTTGTTAGATCAAATAGACACACAATCATCATACCTTACAGCTAATCCCTCGGAGACACTAATGTCCTCTGGTTTCGAATGATTACCTGGCCTTACATGTATCCTCCTCGCTATATGTCATTTACAAGCAATATTAGGATGTTCTAGGTATTCCAAAATTCTAAGCAAACCATATTTCTTTTGTAATCTTTAATATACGGAAAATTTCATGGAACCTATTAGTTCTCAGAATTGCATGCTTTCCAAATTTAGAAATTGATAGCAGTATGACTCAAACAGTTTATATTTAGGGACTTCTATACACTATCGTTTGTGCGTTTACTGAATTGAGACAATGAAAAGCACAGGTAAAATGTGTGAAATCTTGATTCTATACAGTATATGCGCTAGTCCTATAGATGTTTATTGGAAACACACACACAACGACGTGTTAATATACGTAACTGATTTAGAAGTAGACTCTGCAAATTAATCGTATTGAGGTAACAAATTACTGTGATATTTTTTCTGTACGTAACCATCAAGTTCACCACCACTTGAATAGTGCATTACTAGAACACATTTTAACCTTTTTTAAAAGATTTGAAGGATTCATCACCCGGCTATTTTCACAGTCATAGTCCTTTACCAAATTCTAAATTGCAGATGCAAACAGAAGTTTTTTAAGTCAAATAGAAAAACAGGTATATCATACCTTACAGTTAACCCCTCGGTGCCACTAGTATCTCCTGTGTGGAATGATTGTCTGGTCTAACGCGGAAAGTTTCGTAGTACCTATTTGTATTTCGGTATCGGAGATTGTCTCATAATTGCATGCTATCCAAATTAAGAATTTAACAGCAATATGACTCATACATGTAATATATAGGACTTCTGTAAACTATCGTATAGACGTTTACTGAAGTGAGACCAAAAAAACACAGGTAAAATGTGTATTCATGGTTCTATACAGTACATGCGCCAGTCTAGCAACCACAGGTATATACATTGAGGTAAACAATTACTGTAATATATGGAACGACTTTGCCTTCGTTTCGTAACTTCTGAACGTGATCGACTCTGATTCATAATGAAATCTGCTCGAATGACTTTATTTCTTCTTTAGAAAGTACATTTTATTGGTATTTGTCGGTCGTACTAATCAGAATGTACCTTAATTAGAGTAGGATATAAGTTGAATAGGGGTTGTGGACGTATAAGATCGTTGGGCAAAATACCTGTTTAAATAAAGAGTTAATAGCACTTGCATTTGATAAACTTGTATACAGCAGCTCACAAAATTAAAGGGACAATGCAGTTCAGTTTTTTTATAATCTTGTAACAAAATTCTTCATGATAATATAGTTTTGAGCAATTCATTTCGAGAAAGTGACAAGAAACATTGTTTTCTTAACCTGTAATGAAGAATGTCTTAACTGTACAACGCAGTTAACGCGATAACCGTTTTCACAGCAGCTGTCAGTGAACTTCTAACTTACACACATGTCTTTCCAGCCGAGGAGAATATGTAAATTCTCGAACTTCCCGTTTACTTCTTTGGAATACAAGTACCCGCATTAATTCAACCATCTCATTTAATGAGTAATTTATTTTACGTTTAAACCAACTGATATATTTCTTTGTGCGTTTTGAAATTCTTCCTACGAAACTTTATTGCGTGCATACTCATTAACCGGTTTCTTTTTATTCGAATCCAACTGTGAACACAAATATCTCATTAGATTTATATGATATGGTACTTATAATTCTTGCTTATGATGTCTTGTGTAAATTCAAAGTGGCAAACATGTGTTATGTGCGCAATCAGACTCACTTACACGGTGTTGTCGGTGTTAACTTCTCATTGAAAGGCCGGGATATTGCGCTGTATCGGTCGAAGCTATTTTTATCTCCGCCTTTCCCAAAAGAAAATCAAACCACACTTGATTTTGGCTTCAGTTTATGTCGTTATCAAGTACGTAACTGTTCGTTAGGAAGTATATATTTTCAATATCTAATCAATTTTGAGAGTGTTATTTGACTATAGAGCCCTTTTAAATTTAACACCATAGGAAAGCATGATAAGTTATCTTAATATGAAACCGATAATCTATACGTAAAGTCATTATGTTATTATAAGTATCTGTCTGTGTTATTTGTCTTTAATAACGAAAACAATAACTTAATAGCACACAGCCTTGTTGTCAAGTGTGACATCATTAAAACATGGAGTCAGATATCATGCGATTAAATCGCGTATTTTTGTATGCAACAATAATTATGTTCGTCGTTCTACTTTGAAAAAATGTTGTATACAAATAATTTAATGGTCTTCCGGTTGAACGATATTGATTGCACTCGTATAACAGAATAAACCGACATTTCACTAGTGCTTCGCACTCGTATAAAAATATCGGTATTCTGCCATACGAAAGAAATATTATGGTAATCAACCGGAAATCAACACACATCCTCTATATATATAACTACATAATAACATCATCGTATCGGCGTTATTGAATAGAAGTGTACGCATTGTAACCAAAGGTATGCTATAAGATGGTTTGTTTCGTTTGATAGATCATGTAAATTGCTATTTCAGTGCCAACATGTCCTTTAGCTCAAAAGCCGTATTTGGTGTAGAATTAGCTAGCTCCAAAAGAGCTAGGATCGAAACAAGTCTGCTAGCAAGGAAACCTGGCGACATGATTCGAATGGCACGAGATGGTTTTCTACACTACGCCATATATATAGGTAAATTGTATTTAAATTACGTTTTATTTTCAATATAATAACAACACAAATTTTAATTTTCATCCATCATGTTAATCTACTTATGGATCGTTTGATGTTCTTTTTCAGTTTTCATAGTTGTTTAGTATCCACAAATTATACTAAATAACTCCAATATGAAACTATTTCTGCATGTGTAACGTGATGGTATACGAAACTATTGCTATGTAAGAAAAACATCAAATGTTTCCACGGCTACAGTGGAGACAAAGTTATAGAATTGTAGGGGTATTGTAAACCTTTCTTGCATGACAATCTTCTAGCTGTACCGGATTTTTGGGATATTTATGATGTGGCTATATTTTGGTTTATTTGGTGCCAAAATTTATCGCACCAAAATTTCACGATGCCAAAATATCTCGTCACAACATTCCGACATCAGCAGCCTCTCTTCCAACTCGTTTATTATGCATCTTTCCCTAACTTCCATGGGATACATTTTTCAAGTAATTTGGAATTTCTTAGTTTGAGTCAGTAGTCCATTATTTAGATGACGTGAAGAGGTATTTAGCATAAAACTTAAAGTTATGCGTTATATTTGATCAAATATGATCTGCGTACTATTTGAGTGAAAGTTGTCATTTTAAGGACAGTGTTGCATGAAAATTGATCAATCAGAATCAAAAAGCCTTCTTGTATATATGCATTATCAATCTCGCACCACATTACCGATTTAACTTGAGGCTTGCAATTTTGTACTTACATACCTAATTTGGTTGAAGTTGAACAATTACAGTTACTTCATGGATAGTATTTAACTCATTTCAAGATGTCAATATGAATGACAGTGGTGATCCCACTTTGTATTTCCTCAATTCTACATTAACCAGGCAAGGACAAGGTAGTTGATTTCGTCGCAGATAATGGTGGTGAAATCAACTCACGCAATCTATACGAGACTGTTGGTGCCAGCGAATGTGCGATAGACAACTATTTGGACAATGAATACAGGTAAAAGTTTTGAAATAGTATGTTGGCATTATATATATATAATTATAAAGAAAATGATAGTTTTAAAATAAAGCTTCAGCGAACGCCTCTAGTTATAATTTTACAATTCTTGTTTACAGCTTCGTTATGATATGTTACAGCATATACAAATAACTCGTTTATTATGCTATACCCCTGGTTCAGCATGTCAATCAAGCTATTCTTTAATCAGTCATGTCGTTAATCTTAAAGGGACAATTAAGCGATGTATTTTTTGTTTATAACCTTGTCACAAAAATCTTCATAATGATATAGTTTGATACACTTTATGGGCATAACATGTCGAGATATTGACAAGAGACACTGTTTTCTTGACGTTTTGTATGAGTAATGAGGAAATCCTTAACCGTACAGCCGTACGTTTTAGCAGCAGCTGTCGGTGAATTTCTGGCTAACAAAAATGCATTTATTGGGAATCAAAATCATCTTCCAACAGCATCTCAATCATCGTTATAAATGATTGATATTTTTTACGTTTAAACTTATTGATATCGTACTTTCTGCGGTTTCAAATTCTCCCTGCGGCACCCTCTCAGTGCGTGCATACTCTTATTGAACCTGTTCGTTTTTATTCAATTCCAAATGTTAACAGAAATATCTATATAATTGTTCCTTGCGATGTATTGTGTCAATTCAAGAATGTGCAATGTGTCTCATAACTGACACTGTGTTGTCGGTCTTTCTCACTGAAAGGCCCGGATATTGCGTTTTTTCGGTCGTAGCTATTTTTCACTGAAAGGCCCGGATATTGCGCTATTTCGGTCGTAGCTATTTTTATCACCGGCTTTCCCAAAAGATGAAACTAACCACAATGGACGTTGGCTTCAGGTCATGTCATTATCAACTACGTAAACTTCCGTTAGAAGATATATGTTTTCAGTATCAACTCGATTTTCATTATGTCATTTGACTAAATAGCCCCTTTAAAACTAAAACGCTCTTGCAGACTAAACCCTTCGTCTATATCCGTGACCTTCTAACAAAAATGGCCGACTCGATCCTATGAGAGGTGGGCGTAGCTTTTACTGACCGGATACCTCCTGGATGTCAACACTCTTGAAAAAAAGGCGAATATGATACAATAGTAGCAGATTTGGCGATAGGCTTTCGGAAATTGCACTAATAGTGTATGGCATTGTGCATTGGTATCATAAATCAGTTCAAGTACAGATTGAAGAGATTAAACAAATTTACGGATCCCCGAGATTACACTTGGTCGACAAAAAACCAGGAACTTGATATTTCCCCAAACCCCTTGATTTAGTTGTTTGATATCATGAACATTCGTGAAATTGTCTCTTTATTTGTTGCTGAATGCAAACTACTAGAAGCATAATGCAGAAGAGAGTTTTATTTAAAGGACTTTACGAGAGCTTTATTAATATTTTCAGATCGTATCCGGAGCAAGAAATTGTACAGCGGGCATTGTATGCGATTGCAGAGAGCCATATATACAGACTTGGAACATACAACTGTGAACATTTCGCGACGTGGTGTCGGTATGGGTACAAATATTGTCACCAGCCGTGTGAAGTGGCCGCCACTCTGGGAGCTCTAGTTAACCTATCATAGAATATAGGATATGTGTGTTTGTTCTTTCCTGATTGTCTGTTTTTTCGATATCATATAATTTGGACAGCACATTTGACATGTTATGTAATTGACAACATACCTGTTAACAAGCATGTCTCATTGATTATTCTGATTGACATCATATGTATTTGATGATATATCTGATGACGTCATATGCTATTGACAGCATAGTTGATTGAAACATGTCTCATTGGTCACATATCTGATAAACAACATGTCATCGATCATATATCTGATAAACAACATGTCTCATCGATCATATATCTGATAAACAACATGTCTCATCGATCATATATCTGATAAACAACATGTNATAAACAACATGTTATATCAATAGTCTGATTTTATGTCATATCTGATTAACAACATGTTATATTAATAGTCTGATGTAATGTCATATCTGATTAACAACATGTTATATTAATAGTATGATGGAAAGTCTTATCTGATTAACAACATATTTGATTGATAGTCTGTTGTAATGTCATATCTGATTAACAACATATTTGATTGATAGTGTGATGGAAAGTCATATCTGATTTACAACATATTTGATTGATAGTCTGATTAAAAGTCATATCTGATTAACAAGATATATGATTGATAGTCTGTCGGAAAGTCATATCTGATTAACAACATATTTGATTAATAGTCTGATGTAATGTCATATCTGATTAACAACATATTTGATTGATAGTCTGATGGAAAGTCATATCTGATTTACAACATATTTGATTGATAGTCTGATTAAAAGTCATATCTGATTAACAAGATATTTGATTGATAGTCTGTCGGAAAGTCATATCTGATTAACAACATATTTGATTAATAGTCTGATGGAAAGTCATATCGGATTAACAACATGTTATATTGATAGTCTGATGGAAAGTCATATCTGATTAATAACATATTTGATTGATAGTCTGATGGAATGTCATATCTGATCAACAACATGTTATATTAATAGTCTGATGTAAAGTCATATCTGATTTACAACATATTTGATTGATAGTCTGATGGAAAGTCATATCTGATTA